ATTAACCACTCCGGGGATATTACAGTAAATCAGGCAATGATCGAAATTTACTTCATCCCCGGTTCACCTGGATTCCCCTCGGAAAAACGTTTTCGTTGCCCGATGCGGGTCAGAGAGTACCAACGCGGGACGAGAAAACCCGTCGCGCAATGAAGAAGAACACACACCGAACGAAGATCCCCCAACATCAGCCCCCGGAACGTGTGACTGCACGTGTGACTCGGTGTTTGCTTTAACGTCGCCGCGGTTCCTTCGTTTCCTCCTCCTCGACTTCTCCTTTCGTCTTTTCCACCTCCTGTCGTCGTTCGTCTAGTGTTTGCTCAGGGCACACAACTTGTGTTCCCGCGCGCGGTACCTACAGTTTTTTAGTCGCCGTGCGCACCCCATCGGTTTTCGAACCCCTCGACGCTACCGCAGAACAGAACTAGAGAGAACGAGAGAGAGAGAGAGAGAGAGAGAGAAAAGAGAGATCGACATCGTCGAATAACGTCGTTGGGGTAGCGAACGCTCTCGGATCGACGGGAATTTATTTTTACGAAGTATGCAGGCGAGGGATCGCGATGCGAACGTTGGCTCGTCTTTGATGTTCGAACCGACGCATAGGCATTAGCGTATAAATATTTAGACCTCCTGCTCGTTGCTGCACCCAGGCCACCGTTTCTCCATCGACTTTCACCCAGCCGATGAACGATATCGCGCCTTTGTCGAACGCCTTTGCCCGGATCGTCGTTTTCCACCGGCCGCCGCCGCCGCCACCGCCACCGTCCGTTTGACTTTCTTCTCGCGCCGGCTCGGTTGGCAGGCCTGCTCGCGAGAAGACGCCTGGGCCAGCCTGTTTCTCGCGCCACCGTGGCGCCCGTCTGATATCGTTTTCAAACACGCCGGCATCCCGGCTGCCGCGATTCGGTTTTCGGAATTCGCCAAGCCGGTCTAGCGCAAATAATTTCGCATCGTTTTTTTTGCTACACCATGCTACACCCACGCCGCGGATCTTCCCGAAGAGACTGAATTTCCTGATGATCGGGTTACTATGAAACTCTCGCGCTGGAATGACGTTCCGTCCCAAAATTGCAACATTTCCTCCAGTTTTAAGTAACCATTTAAATGTAACCCAGGCAAAATGAATGATGAGTTTGTTGCTTCTTAATAATTTCTATCATACTGACGAGTTCAAAAGAAAATGAAAGCGACGAATTATTTGTACACGGTTCGGTCGCTCGTTATGGTCCGCAATCAGCTGCCAGCGCAAGTGGTTGAAACCAGAGGATTCAAAGTAGATTCTTTTTTCCTTTCGGTATAACTCTCCGAGACGAATCGAACTGAGAAAATGGAGAAACCAAGTATAGACCAAGGAAAGATCAAAATCCGTCGATCAGACTTTTCTGCAAGCATCGTAAGAGATGGTTTTATAATTCCCGGAGAAGATTTCAACATTAGAGATATCGGAAGAGAAATTTTTTCACGAAGCAACGTCGCAAAATTGCAACGTGATCCTGCGAGCAAATTTCTTTGAACAAAATTAGATCAAATTTCGCGTCTAACAATTCTGGAACAAGCCTCGCGAAACAGGTGGCACTCGTCATTTTACCCTCGAGGAACCTGTCGAGGCACAGGCCTCTTCAAGAACCTCATCATAGCAAGCAAAAAACGTAGAAAGAGACACGGCTGATTAGTCCCAGGAGAGGATGGAACGCGCGAGGACCATGGCGCCATTCAATCGGGAAATCTCTCATCCGTCTACGCATCGTTGCCTCTTCATGGCAGCCATACAATACCGTGACGACGTCCCTCTCCTCGTTCTTGCACTTGCTGCTTGGAAAAACGTACAACAGGGAAGGATTCGTCTCTTTCTCTCTCTCTCTCTCTTTTCCTTTCGCACGACCGTGCGGTTTATAAATTGCGAGGAGTCGTTGCACACAATGGGAACAGAGGCTAACTCTGTTATCGCGGTTCGCTAAGCGACTGGACAATGTCCTTCCGAGTCTGTTCCCTCTTTCTTCGACGTTTCGAACCTTCGACCTTCTTTCCTCGGCGGTCGAGGCTACGTGGATAACGTCCAAATATTTGTCTGAAATCCATATCCAGCCTTGGAACCCTCCGCGACTCGTCAAAAGATCCTCACGGGTCGTCTTTTATTATTCCGAGATAATCGCGGTTCGTCGATCGTGCGTTGGACACGGTGGTGGTTTACTTTGTGTTAGAATAGTTGTGCAAGGTACAATTTTGGCCTCTTTTCACTTAGATGGCGAACAGAAGAATACAGGTCGCGAAACTGCGCGGGGGAATTTAGAATTTGCTTGGAGTTGGGATGTTTTCGTCTTTCGTTCGAAAATCTTGGGATAAATAGCGCAGTTGGAAAAATTAAGAAACAGTTTTACATAACAAAAAAAAATCACACGCGATTAAATTTGTTTCATCTAGTATAAACGTTGAATAAATGGAGGAATAAAATGCCTTTGTCAAGTTAAAATTTTTGGAAGCAGATAACGCACCCGACGATTTTGAGTGAAAGAGATGGAGATTCTGATAGAAATTATATTACAATTGAATTATATCAACTGAAATGTATTATAACTGAAAATCGAAAATATTTTTTCGGTCTTAGTGTTCGATACAAATTTAAATTGTATGATTGAAGATCACTAGTTTATCCGCGGCGAACGGTGGATGATGTCGCATTCGATAAGGGCAAATTATATTGTAATTATTAATGATGGAAAGTGATTGGCTCTGACGGAGAACTATTACAACATAAGAGGGTTCAAAAGTGTCGTAAGAACCAGCTTTCGAAGAGGTTGGGTACTTGATCAAAAAATAATGCTTCACAACAGGTACTTTATAAACCCCCTCGTCCAAGTGCGTGACATCTTTGCCTCGGGAGTAAGTTTCACAAATATAGTATTATGAGCCTCGCGAACGTAAATTACGGGGAGTTGAGCGTCATTAAAATTCTAGCGATCTCACGATTGAGATATCGATATATCCGACTCTTGCAACACGAAAAAATTACTCTCAACTGTTTGGAACATCAAAACTCGAGAATATCAATTTCCAAATTTATCAATATGTTCATTTATGTTAAACTTAAGGAGTTAATGTCAAGAAACATTGCGTTCATTCCTAATTCTTCTGCGTTGAAACCTTATTCTGATAATTTTGCACGTTCGAGTTTTTTCGAAAAAAAACTCATTCACGATACGTAAAGTATAAATTTTAGCATGTTCTTCAGTAAAAATTGCACAAAGTTAACTACTTGTATTTTGCACACGTTATATTTCGATGTATTGGACATTTTAATAATCACAAGACGATCAATGATCACAAAAGCTGTCCAAATCTCTCGCAAACACTCTCTCGCGTTGTTCAATCTGAAGATCAGCCGGGCGTAAAGGAAAGTTTTTCGATTTATCGTCAGATATCTCTTTGGAAACTGACAACATGGATATTGCATGGATTTCTCTACCATCGACAATACCCAACCTTCAAATTTGAATAAATCATCCCGATGGACATTGTCATTTGCATGCAACGACAATAATCGCGAGAATCCCACAAATCGTAATTCGTCCACCCTCGAATCTTCGAAGTCGCTTAGAGAGGAAAATATTTTCCCGTCAATTTTTCTCCCCCGATTTGTTCCTCCGGGCAAATTCGAGGAGCGAAACTCTGGAGCGGACGGACACGCACTTCTCCCTCCCCCGCCGCCGCCATCCATCATTCCTCGTTGAAACGCGCAAATGCCGGTCGTTCGCCCTTGATACGTGGCATTTCGCAAATTGCAGCCTCGTCACGCATGAAACAGACGTTGGCCGGTGCCGCGTAATCTTGTAGGTGGAATATATATATGTACATATATATATATATATATACACGCGTCGCGGCACGCTGACACCGGCCTATCAAGTATTCATCGATAGGGACGGGTGGAACACGGGTTTCGTTGTCAACCGGGGGATTCTCGCCGGTGACACGCAAGCAGGAAGCACAAGCACGCGGAGAGCAGCGAGCTGGCGACGTTCGACGTTCCAGCGAGGAATAAGAAAACGGCGAACTACGATAAGAAATCGCGGGCGTCGATCCTAATGGACACCTACAGGGGATAGCAACGATCGATGGAACCTCTGGTACCTGACTAGAGATCGATACAGCTGCCGATTGGAAGCTCCGCAACGGCGACGCGTGATGGTATTTTCCAAGACTTGTGTCCGTTGAAATGGTGGGATGAGCTGATGCGAGAAGATGCGCGTCTGACAAGTCTGATCTGAAGAAGTTTCACGTGGCACGTGAATAGAGAGAGTGTGTGTGTTTGTGCAATTTAATGATTTCGATGAAAGTAAAAATATGGAAGCTTCTATCCTTTTTTATTACCAACCCTCTTCACATGGGACACATTTTCAGAAGAATGTTTCGAATGTTGCAACAAGTATTCTGTTTGGGGTATTTTATTCTTGGATCCTAGATTTTTGAAACATTGACTGAACATAGATGCAACATATATACGTTTCGTCTACTAAATATTACGAAAAGAGATTCGATATTAAAAAGTATGTAATATTAGAAAAAATATGTAACACGATTAAAATATGTAAAAGTAGAGTACTTGTACAACAAATGTTTATTTTTACATTTGTAAATGCAATAGAATATTTCCTTTTACATTTGTATGTTTAATAAATATTATAAAAATTATTCCATAAACTGATTAAAAAACAAAAAATATATATATAAATGTAGAGCAGTTGTATAACAAATATAAAATATTTACATTTTACATTTGTACATTGAAATTGATTCTCGGAATCTTTGTCGTGGTATTCCACTGTAAACCGAAAATTGGTTCGAAGATAGCGAGCACGATAATTAATTGGAAAATGGTGTAAGGATGACGATAACATTTAACTTGGCCGAAATATATTGGTCGAAAAGGGGTGATAGCAATCGTTTCGAAACTAGACTAGGGACTAGGATGAATTTTGGGGAGTAGAAGACTCTGTTGACAATCATCGATAGAAAGTTTCTAATTCTGTACTCACGAAAGTTGCGTGTAGATGTCGCGATTGATTTGTAACTGCAGCAACAACACTTACCTGGAACAGACAAGAAAATAAAAATGTTAGTGCAAAAATATCAACTTGTAATTATCCTAAGATAATAAATTCATAAAATCCTTATATATCTTATACAAAAAAAAAAAAAAAAAAAAATATTCCCCTCGTAAAATTTTTATATCTCTTCGTTTTTCTAAAAATTTGTCGCAGGTTTATTTCGCAAAAGTTCGAAATTTCTTTCGAAACGTTTCTCTCATTCTTCGTATTACTCATCCTCTTCGGGTGACGAAGCGACGCATCTTCAGAAATATTGACGTGCAACAATAGGACGCGTATGGGGGTGGCCCCTTTCACCGTGGCCGCGCGACAGAGTCACCGATATTGCCTAGTATTTACGAAAAAGCGAAAGCTCTTTGTCAGTCAGATTAATAAAGCCAGCTCATCCTCGGAGCAAAGCTCGGGCCCGCCGTGAATTCGACGATTTCCGCTGATCTGGCGGGAAGCAGATCGTATTGCTAGTTACCGTGGTCCATTCACCGCACAAGGAACCACAGCTTCCCCCATTGTAATTCCCGTGGATCACGCCATTGATCATCGACGATTAAACGGTGCGTGCCGTTTACTCTGTGTTTCTTCCAGCGTTGCGAATTAAGAAACCGGTTCCCTTTCTTTATTTTTTTAATTAAACAAGCACTCGCTACAAAAATAAAATAAAATAAATAACGTGTACAGAAACTGCGAAGTGTATAATATTTCGCTATTTTTCTCTTCGAATTATACAAACGAGTTTACAAACTGAAAGAGAAATCATTTAGAAAAATTATCTTCGATCCGGACGCATTTGGACTAACTTGCAAGTTGTACATAGAGAAATAAGAATATGACGAAAATTAATTTCCACTTTCGTCAGAAATAGTAGAATATTCTTGTCGTTCTAAAGATATCGCAAACATAAATAGACAAAATTCACGCAAAACTTTCCTCGAGATTACAGGAAAAATTCCACCATTTTCTAAAATCAAGAAATGATTTTATTCGATATTTACGAAACTCCGATACCGGAAACACACGGACGAAATTAATTTCCATCGGGTTTCGTGACTCGAATTCGCAAGGGGCAAGCCGCGCGAAAATGAAACGAACGTAAATTCGATCGGAGGTTGTTCCGGCTCTCCCGGTGGAGAGCGATCGAGGAAATTAAAAGACGTTTACCGGAAGACGCCCTCCTAATGTCTTCGGCTAAATCGATTGGTTATTCGTTCAAGCGAAATCGCATCACGACTCGTCATTCAATAAAAACAAGACGGCCCGGGGAGCGATAAACCACTTAAGGCCACTCGATATCCCCGGCCCCCGAGGAGCATCGATTCGAAAGAAAGGGAAAAGAAGAAGGCTGCGGGAAAGAAGCGTGACGATGCACACTTACTTTACCGATACACCTCGCGTGTACGTGTGAGTGCGAATCTTTACGTCAAAGAAAACCGAGAGAGAGTTTGGTTATTCTGAGAAAATAAAAAGAGAAACAGAAGTTTCGATCGTGGAAGAATTTTCGAAGAAACGAGGAATTTTCTTTTTTTTAAATTACACTGCGAAAGAAGCGAACGAGACAAATTTTCTCGCCATTTCCATTGATATTTGATGCTCTTTTTACAGACAAAATAAAAAACAAATATCGCATATTGTACACTTCGTGGACATTTCTGATCTTTCCGTGTAATTTTTCTGTTTTCAAGGAATTTACAATTTCTTTCTGACAGGATGATACATGGACAAAGATGCGAATTAATAGAAAATAGAAATTGACATACGTGTTCATTTTTACGGATGAAATGCAAAGAAAGGATAGAAACGTGTACACACGCACGTTGTATGGAAATAAAAATGCATGAGTGTTTACAATCTTTCACTCGTCTAAATACAATTTTTTAGCTTCAAAAGAATTCTGAATTTCTTTTCACAGGGTAAACGATACGAAAGGGTAGAGAGAGAAAGAGAGCTATCGCGTAAACAGAAATTCTAAATTCTAAATATCGTTTTTAGTTCTAAAAAGCTTCGCTGCGAGAGAGTGCCCGGTGGAATTGCTGGGAATTATTGACATTGTCGATATTCTAAAAAAAAAAAAAAAAAAAAAATTAAATAAAATGAACGAATATTTAATGTAACACGAGTTTATATTA